GAAGGAAGGAAGGAAGGAAGGAAGGAAGGAAGGAAGGAAGGAAGGAAGGAAGGAAGGAAGGAAAGACCGTGGGGTCCTTGGTGCTCTCTGAGCTGGGTGGTTTTCTTGGAGAGGTTTCATGACCCAACTAGGGAACATCATCAGTGCTAGAAGGGAGGAGGAGGAGGAGGAGGAGGAGGAAGAGGAGGAGGAGGAGGAGGAGATATCAGCCAGGTTCTGGAAATCCAGGGCTGTCAATCCACCCCCAATTCCTGAGGTCCAGCCGCTGCTTGGGCCGAGCCTTCCAGAGCACAGTCTAGAATTCAGCCCCCAAACCCAGCCTGGGTGTCCCCACCACACTCTCCTGTGGCAGCCAATTCTGACCACGGGAGTGGAATGCAAAGTTCTCCGCCACCACCCCCTCAGCTGTGAACGGGCGTGGGGCTTTCCCTTCCCAAAGTGTCCAGCAGTGGCCAATCAGTCATTCAGGCCAGGGCTACCGAGTTGATGAGCCCCAGGCCCGTTTAGTGCAAGACCCTGGTCTGGTGGGAATGAGCAGGCAGGAAGGCTGCTGGTCTTTCAGTTTTGGTTTATAAGGCGGAGCGGATGTTGAAGAACATGTTACAGGAACGTCACCCCCAACACAAAGGAGATCTCCTGGCTTCCTTCTGACTTCCTGGAACGGCTTCTTCTCGTTCCCAGCAGGGCAGCTGCGCAGGAAGAGCGATTCTCCAGCTTGCACCCCGGGCTGCCCATCTGACCTTGGAGCTTCTAAGGGCGCAGCCCCTTCCTTCCTTCCTTCCTTCCTTCCTGGGAGAAGACAGGAGATGTGGTGTCCCTACTCCAAAGCAGCTGATTCTTCCCCAGAGGGAGAGCCGGTGGCCACGGCCCCCATCGCAGGCGCGTGCCCCAATCCCTTCAAGCGCAGCACGAACCAGGGTAGGAGCACCGGGGCCTCCTCCATCAGGATCTGCAAGCCCTGCTCCATCTGCACCCAGGCCTGGATGGCCTTGGGGCTGGACAGGGCGGCCACCATTTCCGGCCTCTGCATCTGCTGATAAAAATGCTGCAGCTGCTGCTGGACGTGGTCCTGCCGGGCGGCCTGCGTCTCTTGGGAGGCGAGCAGTGCGTCCTGCATGAGGGAGAGCAGCACGCGCTGGGTGTAGGCGTTGCAGAGGTTTACAATTAGGGCCTGGATACCCCCTACGTTGCACGGTCCTGCCCCAGGGCTGGGCACAAGGCTGGGCAGGGAGGACCCGAGAGGATCCTGAAGGCGGTTGAAGATGCCACCTTCATCGTTGCTTGAGTTGTTGGTGCAAAACCTCCCGTAGCTGTTGGAGACGGGGAAAGAGCCCGGAGGGCCTCCCGGGTGAAATCCCTCGCCACCCCTGACCTTGTGCTCTGGACAAGGGTTCCTGGCCAGGGTGACATAAGGGCTAGAGGTGGCAAGGAGGTCCTGGCCTGCATTCGGCCCTGGCTCCTGAACCTCACTGTTGAGTTGCCTCAAGGGGTTGTCTCCACCGGGAGTGTTGTTCTGAACACTAATCAGGAGTGGCTCTGGATTCTTCAGGTCCTGTTCCACCTCAGGGTTCTTTGCCAGGTCCATCATTTCTCTCATCTTGTCCAAGATCACCCGCATGATGCCCATGTTGTTCAGGATGTGGCAGATGGCAGGGAACTGCTGAGCCAGCTGCTGGATCTCTGGGTTGGCCAAGATCAGCTGCCGTACCTTCTGAACAATCATCTCGGAGGTTGGCGCCTGATGCCACTCAAGGCTGGAGGGATTTGTCTCCGGGGGCCCCCACGAACCCCGAGAGACTGGGTTCAAGGCAGACAGGCTCAGGCTGGTGCCCACTGGTGCCAGGGCACAGCTTGAGGGCCTGGGCACGTAGGATGACTGAGTAGAGCCTTCTGGGTCTCTCTTCAGGGATCGGATGACCAGGTGGACAGTCATCCCATCACTGACCCCGCATTGCTGGAGGGTGTGCTGGTCCTTCAAGATCCTCCCGAAGAACACGAGCACCACCTGGCACGGCTCACAGGTGAAGTGCTCGGAAAGTTTCTCCTTGACCCGCCGGATGGTGGTTTCCCGAGGCAGCATGAACTGGGCGCTGCCCTTGGGAGACTTTGCGGTGATGCAGATGAAATTGGGGCTGGGGGCCAGGGCGGGGCAGCCGTGAGCGGCGCCCTCTTGGTGCATGTTCAAGGTCTCCGTGGCGCATGGAGCAGCCGGAGGAGGAAGAGGAGGAGAAGGGGGCCTGCCTAGGAGAAACACGACAGGGGTCTCTTGCCTGGCTGGACAAAAGGAATTTGTGGGTGTCACGTCTCCGAGATGGATGAGCTTTCTGTGTTGGAAGGCAAACCGACACCCTGAGAGCAAAGCCAGGGTGGGTGTCAGAGCCCCCTCCCAGGCCTCCTTTTCTCTCCCCCTCCTCTTACCTTCCTTCCTTCCTCCCTTCTTGCTGTGCCAGGGAGCTGCTGTCTCTTCATTATCCCAGCCAGGTGGGGGGCATCACTGTGACATCACCAGGGATGTCACTCCATGGCCAAGCTGGTCAAAAGGGTGCCCAGGAGCCAGTCTGGGGTCCTGAGCTGACGGGCAAGGCCGCCTGGGCTCTTGCCCACCTCTCCTCCGGATTGGAGGGCTCAGGAAACTGGGGGTGGGGGGATTCTCGAGGTTGAGGAGGTTTATCTCTCCAGAAGATGGAATACAACTTCATCACTCTAGCACAAGTTGGCTGGAAGTGATGCAAACTGGTTGCCCAGATCTGCCATCCCATAATAGACTGGGTGATAGGCTTCCCAGAGGGAGAAACATCTGAGAAAGATGCGTCTCTGCTGATTGAGCCCCTACAAATCCCCCCAATATATGCCTTTTTGGGGAAGGATGAATAACTCAGTTTACTGTTATATTCTGATTGAACATGAAGCTCCATCTGAGAGTTTGACAGTGGAGTCCGTGATCCAGGGAAGGGATGGGCTCCCTGCGGGGGGTGCTCAGACACGTTGCCACCAAACAGCTGGCCTAGATACTGTATGCAGGAAGGGCCCTTGACGTGGAATGGAATGGAATGGAATAGAATGGAATAGAATAGAATAGAATAGAATAGAATAGAATAGAATAGAATAGAATATGGAATAGAATAGAATAGAATAGAATAGGCTTTCTCAGGTCTTGGAAACCCAACAGAATGGAATAGGAAATAGAATAGAATAGAATAGAATAGAATAGGAAATATAGAATATAGAATAGAATAGGAATAGGAATAGGAATAGGAATAGGAATAGAATAGAATAGAATAGAATAGAATAGAATAGAATAGAATAGAATAGAATAGAATAGAATAGGAATAGAATAGAATAGAATAGAATAGAATAGAATAGGAAATATAGAATAGAATAGAATAGAATAGAATAGAATAGAATAGAATAGAATAGAATAGAATAGGAATAGAATAGAATAGAATAGAATAGAATAGGAAATATAGAATAGAATAGAATAGAATAGAATAGGAATAGAATAGAATAGAATAGAATAGAATAGAATAGAAAGGGACCTTGGAGGTCTTCTAGTCCAGCCCCCTGCTCAAGCAGGATAACCTATACCATCTCAGACAAGTGACTGTCCAGCCTCTTCTTAAAAACCTCCAGGGATGGAGTACCCACGGTTTTTGAAGGCAAGCTGTTTCACTGGTTAATTGTCCTCACTGTCAGGAAGTTTCTCCTAAATTCCAGGTTGCTTCTCTCCTTGATCAGTTTCCAACCATTGTTTCTCGTCCTTCCCTCTGGTGCTTTGGAGAATAGATTGACCCCCTCCTCTTTGTGGCAGCCCCTCAGATACTGGAAGGCTGCTATCATGTCTCCCCTATTTCTTCTTTTCTTTAGACTAGCCAAACCCAAGTCCTGCAGCCGTTCTTTATATGTTTTAGTCTCCAGGCCTTGAATCATCTTAGTTGCTCTTCTCTGAACTTTTTCCAAACTCTCATCATCTTTTTTGTAGTATGGTGACCAAAATTGGCTGCAGTATTCCAGGTGTGGTCTTACAAGGGTTTTATAAAACGGTACTAATACTTCATGTGATCTTGATTCTATGCCTCTGTTTATACCACCCAGGATTGTATTAGCTTTTTTAGTTGCTGCTGCACACGGCTGGCTCACGGTCAAGTGATCGTCCACTAGGACTCCGAGGTCCCTCTCACAGTGGCTGTTTTTGAGCCAGGTCTCACCCAATCTGTACTTGTACCTTTGGGTTTTCCTGCCTAAATGTAAAACTGCTTTTCTCCACATTAAAACTCATCTTGTTAGATAGGGCCCATTGTTCCAGTTTGTCAAGATCGTTTGGGTTGGGCTTCCCTTGCTGGCTAATTCACAGCTCACTCCAAGAGTTCGATCCTGACCGGCTCAAGGTGGACTCAGCCTTCCATCCTTCAGAGGTGGGTAAAATGAGGACCCAGATTGTTGGGGGCAACAGGCTGACTCTGTACACTGCTTAAAGAGGGCTGTAAAGCACTGTAAAGTGGTATATAAGTCTAAGTGCTATTGCTACTGTTATTTGGGACGTTCTGCCTTCTTGCAAACTCTTCTAAAGCATGCAACCAGAATTATGTGCAGTGTTCCAGAGGCACACTATATTGGCGGCTTAGTTTTCATTCCTTTTTTTAGTACTTCTTGCAAGTACTCTGAATCCATATCCTTCTATAGCCTCCCAGAGTCACTTGGTTGAGTTGGGCAGCTATAGAAAAGGAAGGAAGGAAGGAAGGAAGGAAGGAAGGAAGGAAGGAAGGAAGGAAGGAAGGAAGGAAGGAAGGAAGGAATAAACAAACAGTGCTCTTTGATACATACAGCACTTTGCTGAACCCAACTAGGTCAACCATATTATGACTCACACAGCACACAAAGAGAAAGGCTGGGTCCCTCACAACACGCTGGACATTAAATCTTAAATCTAGTGTGTTGTTGTGTGGGCTTAGCCACCAGCTTTACACAGCCTCAAGATTGCTGTGTTCAGCTATCTGAAAGGAAGAGAAGGCGAGCTGCTTCAGATGGACTTGCTCGGCTGTGAAGAACAGGACTGGGCCCTGCCAGGGGTCCTCAGAAGCTTTACAAAATGGCGTCTGCACAAATCCTTCCATTTCATCCCTCCACAGCCAAGCAGGAGAGACAGGATGAAATAAAGCAGCAAAAAAACCCCTCCTTGCCCTCCCCTTAGCTCTGTTGGCAGGGGTCCAACTCCACTTGTGCCCCTGTGGGTTTTTACTTGGCATTATGGGCGCCTGCTTCTGCAGCTCTGTGTGTGTGTGCACACATGTGGAACACACATTGACCAGCGGGAACCCTCTGGGGACTGCAAGGTCCTGTTGCCAGCCTCAGGCAGACGTTGTCCTCTCGCTCTTCCTCCTCCGGGGTCTCCCAACTATGAGCTAGTCGAGCCAAGCCCCCCCTGGGTCAGGTAGGCATGTGGGCCCTCGGCAGGATGTCTGCCACGACAGTGGTCTCCTGTGGGTCGGTGCAGTTATCATCCTCCACCACATCTGTGGCCACTATGTTTTTAGAATAACAGACTTGGAAGGGACCTTGCGGGCATCTAGCCCAACCCCCTACCCAAGCAGGAGACCCCCACCCCATTTCTGACAGATGGCAGTCCAGTCTCTCCTTGAAAGCTTCCACGGATGAAGCCCCCACAACCTCTAAAGGCAAACGGTTCCATTGGTTAATTGTTCTGTCAGGAAATTTCTCATTTCCAGGTTGAATCTCTCCTTGATCAGTTTCCATCCGTTATTCCTTGTCTGGCCCTCAGGTGCTTTGGAAAACAGGCCGACCCCCTCTTCTCCGTGACAGCCCCCTCAAATATTGGAAGGCTGCTATCCTGTGTAATAATAATAATAATAATAATAATAATAATAATAATAATAATAATAATAATAATAATAATAATAATAATAATAATAAAGTTGGAAGGGACATTGGAAGTCATCTAGTCCAACCCTCTGCTCAGGCAGAAAATGCTATACCATTTCGGACAAATGGCTGTCCAGTTTCTTCTTAAAAACTTCCAGTGTTGGAGCATTCACCGCTTCTGGAGGCAGGTAGTTCCACTGGTTAATTGTTCTAACTGTCAGGAAGTTTCTCCTTAGTTCTAGGTTGCTTCTCTCCTGGATTAGTTTCCATCCGTTGCTTCTTGTCCTGCCTTCTTCAGGCGCTTTGGAAAATAGCTTGACTCCCTCTTCTTTGGGGCAGCCCCTGAGAGATTGGAACGCTGCTATCCTGTCCCCCCTCGTCCTTCTCTTCATTAAACGAGACATACTCAATTCCAGCAACCGTTCCTTATAATATTTTAGCCTCCGGTTCCCTAATCATCTTTGTTGCTCTTCTCTGTACTCTTTCTAGAGTCTCAACATCTTTTTTACATCTGGTCCTTCTCCTCACTAGACCAGTCACGCCCAGTTCCTGTAGCCGTTCTTCCTATGTTTCAGCCTCCAGTCCCCTGATCACCTTGGCTGCTCTTCTCTGCCAAGGCTGTTCCCCCAGCAGGAGGAAATCAAAGGCCTTTGGACAGGTGAAAGGGCGCTCTGGATGTCCATCACCAGACCAGTGGCAACCAGCAGGAGGAAATCAAAGGCTATTGCGGCGGAAATCAACAGACTATTGCAGCGTCTCTGGAGACTCTCAGCCATCTGGGTCACGATTGTCCCAAAGGTGCTTTTTTTCCAAAAGGCAACTGGACTTGCTTGTGTGTTATTTTTCCCCTTGAAAACTTTTTGCTTCTCATCCAAGAAGCTTCTTTAGAACTTAAGAAACGTCTTGGATAAGAAGGGGAACATTTTCAGGAAAAAAAAATCAAAGGAGTCCAGTTGCCTTTTGGAAAACCAGCTTTGGGATAACTATTGCACTGATTTCCGTGCTGGACCGGATTGTAGCCAACTAGAACTGTGTTAGAATATTTAGCATTTACAGGGTTAATGTTGTATCATTGAGAGAACTGTATGTAAGAACATATAGCATTTAAAGGGTTAAATGCCCTTTCCTTAAGAGATGGCTTATGGGTAACGTAGTTTCAATTGTTAGTTAATCCCAGGGGTAGGCAACCTTGGCTCTTTTATGACTCGTGGACTTCAACTCCCAGAATTCCTGAGCCAGCACAGCTGGCTCAGGAATTCTGGGAGTTGAAGTCCACGAGTCATAAAAGAGCCAAGGTTGCCT